CTGAGAGGCTGGAAGAGAGGGTAAAGGAAGAGCCGAGGAGGAGCTGGGAAGCTAATCTGGAGTACGGTGAAGAAACTCAAATGCCACGGCAAAGTTTTGAACATGACCTCATAGCAATGGGGCACTAGCGGAGGTCTTCCAGCTTAAGGGTGTCACCATCAGATCTGCTTCAAGGACTCTGGGGGTTGTGCCAGATGAGAGGGAGGTGGGGAAGCTTGGTACAGGGCTTCTAGAACAGTCTAACAAGAGGGCAAGAAGAGGAGGCACAAGGACAGAAAGGAGAAGGAAACTCAAAGACATTGAACATTTGTTGTTGACACAGGTGACCAGTCATAAAGCAGCTATTCAATCTTTGAAGTATCTCCCAAGACGATCCCGCAGATTCTCTTCTAAACCTTTCAGTTGATTTCCCTTGTCAGTTTGCTGGCCTGTGGTACCCACTTCAAGGACTGTGCTACTCTAAGTTACTCCTAGAAGCTTTGTACTGGCTGAACAACACATGTATGAATAGCCTCTCCTGAGCCTGAGGGACTGGTTATACAAAGCCCTGCTAACCTCTTAGTGAGGCTGGAAGAGAGGCTGAATTTATACTTTGCTGTGCAGGTGCTCAAACCCAGGATCCTCTCTGCCATCTATATAATGCCACTGATTATGAAAAGTTCCATCAGTGCCTGGTATTTGGGGTGAAAGACCTGAGTTCAAGTTTTGATATTACCATTTGCTAGCAGTATGGCGGAAACTCTCAAGCCAGCTTCTTCATCCATTAAAAAGAGAATAAAAACACTTAAGTTCTCCCTCTGGTCCAGAGTGTGAGAAAAGAGTTGAAAGGATGTAGAGCTAAAGAGAAACCTCAGAGAACCAAATGCAGAGTGGTGTAGAAAAGGGTTATATAAGGGACACTACTGTTACAGCAAGCGACGGGCGCCACAGCATCAGGGGAACCAATGGAAAGATGTGGATGACGTGAATAAGTGAGCTATTTGCTTTGTTCCGCCCCATGTCGCTTCAGTAATGATAACAAAAGATCCATCCTGATGCGCTTAGGAGCCCCTCTGTCCATTTCTGTGCCTTTCACAGACAGGATGCAGGGCCAGACGCAACCTTTGAATGGTTGCTTAGAGTTAATTCTCTTTTTGAAATAAAAACCAAAGATAAATGTCAGACCACTGGTGCACAGAAATAGTAAAAAGCCCTAGTTACTCCAAGAACGTGGCGGACATTGAATACATTATGGTCCAATTATTTCTTTTCAGCAGGGTTTGGATGAGCAAACAGAAGAACAGATTCCTAGCCTTGACAATTCTTCTATAAAATATTTGTTCTTTTGTGTGGCATGGCTCAGAGCAGTGACTTAAAGTCAGGCATGGTAGGCAGCAACCTAGGGAATGTGAGATAACAGAGCTTAAGAAAAAATAATTGAAATGTCAATGCTTTTTCCTCTTTAGTGCATAGTTTTAGTGTGATTCATATATACATATTATAGAAATGTGTTTACACGTGTAACTTGCATGTATGTAAATATGAAAGTACACATGTATGTTGTTCAACATTTACCAAAGGAGCCATGATCAGACTTGGAGACCACTGTTGTGAAGAGGCTTGGGGATGAATCTGAGTTTGAACTTCTGTGTCAGCACTGTGCTGTGTGCTTCCCAGTGGCTTGCTAGGTTTAAGATATTCCAGGGGCACAGAGGAGAGGAAGAAGTGGATTTCAGTCCTAGCTCTGCCACTGACTCAAGGCTGTGCTTGGAGGGTGTTTTAAGAAGCTGTCTCATTACTCGCTCAAACAATGGGAGGAAAAATAATACCTTCTTGGCAAAGCTACTGTGAGGGTTAAACAAGGACTTTGCAGCACAGTGATGTTCCTTTCTGATCTTGAGTACAAAGACAACATTTAAGGTACGTGTTTTTAGATGGGTCTCAGTCTCACCCACTCTCTTACCTGGTCTCCGTCATGACATGTCTCTCAGTGGCTGATTCTCTTATGGTGATTCTAGGGGAATGGTGAGGTTCAATGGGTTCAGGTCTCAGCATTGCTGTTCGCCTACCATGGAAAGAGCCTTCGGCTATGCTGAGCAGGTGCCCTGCTATATGTGCCAAGGATACTTCATATGATTTACTCTCCACAGCACCCTAAACAGGATTTGGAACCTTCTTCATTTTTCATACAAAGAAGCCCTGGGAAAGTTCTATCCAACAGAACTTTCTATAGTGATGAGCTTTTTAACGTCTGGGCCACCCACTGCGTAGGCACTGGACACCTGGCCATAGGCACCTGCAAATGTGGCTCTTGTTACTTGATCGAGTAGCAGAATCAAAAGATTGCCAGTGACCTGTGGGACTCCAGAAGAGGTTTACTAAGAAATAAATCAGAAATACTGCTGAACAGGAAAGAGTGCCCATCGGCAGGTGAGAAAGCTTAAAGAATTACAGAAAGTAGAAAGCGGTGGATTGCCAGGGGAAGAAGGGCTGAGCACAAGCAGCCGAGGCCGAGCTCCAAACGCAGAACTGGTGGAAGCATGGAGGGAGGGTGGCTCTAGTCAAACACCAGCAAGACAAGAAAGGAAACGGGTTTGGGGCCAGCGGCATCCTGCGCTTTCCAGTGTGACTCCAAGTTAAGGTGCCAGGAAGCATGGAAGGATTTCTGAGAGCCAGTGGCCTCAAGAGGGACTGGGAATTCCCACACCGAGCCTCACATGAGCCACCACCGTCCAGCACTCTCCGTCCCAGCCCCACAATTACAGCGGAGAGATTCCTTCGACGTGAAACCATATCTCCCAAGAGGTGAACAGCGACTCTCAAATAAAATACAAACAAGCATCATGAAGAACACTACAATCAATAATAACCAAGCAAATAAAATTAATAGCACAAACAGAAGATGTCCTCTGAACTAATGTCATTACTGTCTTTGTAGCGATTCAAGGCTCTATGTTATTCATAAAGCAAGAATAAGCTGTGTTCAAGTTTGCTTTCTGTTACTGTGATGAGAAACTCTGACCATAAACAAGTTGGGGAGGAAAGAGTTTATTTCTTCTTAGACATTACAGTCCATCATCAGGGGACTCCAAAGCAGGAACTCAAGGCAAGAGCTTGAAGCAGAGACCATGAAGTATGCTACTTACTGGCTTGCTCAGTTACCTTTCCATGCTGAGATTTTGGCTGGCTTGATCTTGTACAAGTCTTGTGCATGCAGTCCCAGTGACCCTGAGTTTATGTGTGCAGTGTATTGCCAAGTGCAGCACACACTGTTTGACTAGAGACATCCACTCCCTCTGGTTCTTACAATCTTTCTGCCTCCTCTTCTGGGATGATCCTTGAGCCTTGGGGGAAAAGAATATAGTAAGATGCCACATTTAGAGTTGAGAACTCCACACTCATTCTCTCCATCTTGAACATCCGATCCCCCCGCCTCCACCTCCCAAGTGCTAGGATCACAGGCATGCACCAATACTGCTGGTTTATGCAAACTTGGGATGGAACCTAGGGCGTCAAGCATGCCAGGCAAGCATATTTATCAATTGGACACCCCTCACCGACCTGGCACAATTTTAAAAGCACTACCATCCTACAAGAATTCTGAAGATCCCTTAACCTTCCAGGGCATCAATTGCCTCATTTCTAAGATGAATAAGCTGTGTTGTTTCCCATAAAAAACAAAGACCAAGTATATTTCATATAAAGCAAAGCCATGTCCGTCTTTGTGAAATTACCACAAGCCTCAGCCTAGGCCACGAAATATTCTGTCAATCAATCAATGGCTTCATGGGCATGTAACTAAAGAGCTAACACAATTGATTGGAAGAGCCGCTTGTGTAAAGCTCCTGCTTGGGGTTTAACTAGAATTACATTCAATATCCAGGTCAACATAAATGAAAAGTATTTTGGCCTGAGGAACTAATGATGTGGATTCCCAGCTAGAACCTGTCATTGGCTGGGTTAGTGCCTCAGTTTCCCCATCCTTAACATGATGAGTTGTGTTTAAATCTCCGGACTTCTTCTCCACTATTAAATTCTATGAGTAGTACGAATCTGTAGTGCTTGATTAAGGCTGAATTGTATGCATTCCAGGAAATTTTATACTGCCAAAGAAAACAGGGCCTATGGAGAGTTCACAAGACTCACCCTAAAGATGATGTTATGGTGATTAAGAAATGTACTACTGGGTTCACTTTTTTGAGATGAGGTCTTACTATAAAGTCATGGCTAGCCTGGCACTCACTCTGTAGGCCAGGCTGGCCTTGAACATGCAGCAGTTCTGTGCCCAGCTCTCCTGTGCTGGGCACAGAAGTGGATATACTACTGTTCTTGGTTCAAGCTGGGTCAAATTCTTGGGAAGAAAAAAATGATGAGCAAAATAAATCAAAACGTAAGAGAAAACATTGCTTCATCAGAGAAGCAGGCTTTCTGACTGACAGCTGATACCAAGCCCTCCTCCTCCATAAGCTTCCTTGGAGAGATCAGCTAAGTGTCGCTCCAGGCCCCCATCACTCTTATTTTTAGCTTTTGAGTTCTCCTCACCAGTGTAGTGACCTGAGATTTGGAATTCCAGAAGGCTCCCAGGCATGCCTCATGATTCATTTTCAGGTGGTACCCTGTGCTGGTTTCCAGGACAGGCGGAGGGCGGGGGCGGGGGCAGGCGGGGGATCAGAAATGATTTTAAAAATAAAACCCCCTGCTCACCTTCCAAGTCCAAACTCTTGATCAGAAATTGTACACTTCACAGACGGACCCCTTAGTGACACAGGAAAATGGTAATTAAAATAGAACCTGACTGATATTGTTCTCCAAGAGCTCCCAGCTGGCGTTGGGGGGAACACAACTACGGGCTTTGGTCACGGGCTATTTTTGGCCTCTGATAGCAGTTGTGTTACTCATGTCTTAGTCACCCCCTCCCCTCGGCCTCCCTCCTGCCCTTCCCTCACCAAGCCAAGGCTGGTGACAGCCTCCACATATTTAAAGAGGACCAGAGTTCCCCTTACTCACTTGAGCCAACAGAGACCACACAGGCAGGTGAGTGGGGCAAAGAACACACTTAGGTTGGGGGTGGCTGGCTGGGTGGCAGCTTGGGACTATACAGGACTGTAGAGTGGAGTTGTATTTTATACCCAAGTACAGCACCCACTTTGGTTACATGTAGGAAGGGTGGTGTCATATGCTTGGTCATCATATGAATCTAGCAGCTGTTTTAAAATTCCTTAAAGCATGGTTAATATTTGGGGGTTCTGGGCCTAGAGGTGGGGCTCAGTCAGTTGTAGAGCCCTTGCTTAGCATGTTCAAAGACCTCGGTTTTATCTCCTCATATCACAAAAAAAATCTAACTAAAAGTTGAGGATTTCAAGGGAAACTTGTAGGCAGAGATACGAGTATGGAATCAATCTGGGTCTAAAGCTGCAATCATAGTGAAATGGTTCCTGTCTGAGTTGGAAGGCCAGAAAGCAGAGGGAAACATTTCATTGAACCAATGGCCGATCTACCTAGCCGTAATCTCAGAACGATCACCAAAGCAGCGGCTGCAGGACTTTTAGGAAGTCCCTGCCCTAGGGGTTTTGTACCCTCTCCCTCAAGGGTTTGATGCAAATATGCTGAAGTTTTTCTAAACTCTAAAGCAGGTGGTCAGAGATCCGACATCAGAAGACAGTCTTTCCCAGGCTTAAATTGTAAGGAGCTGTGCTAGTCAAAAGACGTGGATGGATTGCTGAGATTTCAGGTTTGTTGGTTTAAATAGATGTTACACACCGAAGATGTTCAGCACCAGGCCTACTTTTAAGCATTCAAAATTAATCAAAACTGGTCCTGAAAAAAAAAAGACACTGCGATGTTGAAAATCCATTAAAAACTCTTATTTAGTGGGAGGATTAATTCCCGGTGGCTGCGGGGGGTGGCTCCGTTTGCTCTAGGTCTCAGTCAAGGATTTCTTTCTAACATCCAGCGAATGACCAGGCTGACTGAGGGTGAGAAGCACTTCTAAGCAGTGGCCTGGGTGGAAATAAACCTGCCACTTCTAATTTCTGCTCCGGGCCTGAGTTTGGGAGGGACTCCTTGATGGAGGAGCTGGGTGAACACCGGGGAGGCCCGTCTAATTGACGCACAGAGCAGTCAGTTAATAAACAGTATGGACCGTCTCCTGTGCCGGGGCTGGGCCAAACAAGGCAGCGCAGGCTAAAGTGGGCAAGCGCCAAAAGGTAGGGAAACGCTGATGCCTGTGCCCTTGATTCACTTTTGGGACAGAGTGTCAAGAAAAATGAAATGTTGTGAAATAAACATGCTGTGCCGTTCTCCACAAAACATAGACAGAGGGTATCCGCTATGAAACAGTGCCACGGCCATCTCCATGAAATTGGCAGACTCTCTTGACTATAAAATATTCCATTATTCAACCAATTTATCACAATGTGTGTAAAATTGCTTTATGACCCAGAAAATGTGGGTTTTCCTGAGCTGACTTTGGTTCATTTCTGAACAATTTGCTCACTTGTGGCCAGTGGTGGTAACTCTACCGTTGGACAGGAGGTGAGGCTAAGGCACGGATCGGTGCTTGCTTACAAATGGGCAGACAGGTGCTCTGTAGTCTGGACATACGAGCCATCCATCAGAGGCAGGAGAGCCCACTGAACAGGGCTGAGAGGCAGCACGGGGCAGTGTGAGGGAGCAAGCAGCAACACTCAACACCGACAGCCTTTCCCAGGAAGTGGAGATGGAGTGTTGGTAGATACAAATTCATGGCTTGGGAAGCAAGAGAAGAAAGCAGAGTCTGTTCAAATTCTAGCTCTGAAGAGCCCCTAGCTTCTCAGTTTTCATTTTTGGAACAATAAAATCAAAGTACAACCACTTGCCCCAAAGGGATTTGTGAGAATTGTATGAGATAAAGTATTGGAAAGTACTTTGGGAAGCTTAATAAAAGCATTTGAATAAGTGAGGTCTTTCATAAAGGCATGGGATCCTCTCTGGGTTAGGTAAGACGCCTCTGCAGTACGAGGTGATGATAAAAGTCCAGACGTCAGAGTGGCTAACAAGCTGATCACGAATGAAAAGATGATTGATGTGTTTGACAAGAGGATACAGGCCCAGGAGAGTACATTAGGAAATACAGGTCCAGGCAGGCAGCCTTCCAATCACAAGCATGCTCCTCAGATGTCTGGGAATACTGTACGTAGGGTTGGGCTTCATGGCCAAAGAGAAACGTGAAGCCTACCTGTGTGAAAAACTGCAAGCGTTCCTCTCAGGGAAGCAGTCAGTAAGGGAGGCAGGGATTGTCCAGGGGCCATGAAGTATGGAGCCACTCAGAGGACTTCCTCTAGCCCAGCGCTGTTGATCATGATTCAGCGGTTGCTTACCTGTGGTCTTGAAATGAGTGTGAACTTGTTTAAGTGTCACAGGAAGTCCTGGAAACATCATTCTTCAGAGGAAAATACCCAAGTTCAAGAGAGCATAGCAATCTCCTAGGGCCACGTGGCGGCAGAGCCAGGGTCTCTGCTAGGGCACGGTGTGGTCTTAAAAGCACAAAGGTCAAACAGAACCAAGAGTGAGCTTCAAGAGCAGAAGTTAGCCATGCTGTAGATCATTTGGAGCATGTCCTACAGTCTTCTTCTCACGGAATGTCTGTCATGCCTGGAAGCCAGCCCTCCTGATTATTTCTAAGCACAGACTGCTTCCAGGCTTTTGCAAGAGTCAGTCGTGAAGAGACTTCATACTGCCATAAGCTTAGAAGGAAGCCACTGCCCTTGACTGTTCTGTCCAGGAGCAAGTACTAGGCCACAGGGACCCTGTGGGCACACTGCTTTCCTTCAAAGCCCCAGTGGCTTGCAAGAGAGCTGCAGAGAGGCAGGTTGGGCCTGAGGCCAAGCTTGTGGCTCTGTCTGATTCGCAATCAATGGTACAGACAGCCTGAGCTGGGAGCTGCCTCTCCTCCTGCACTGCTACATCTGGGGGGCAAACTCTGAAAGCTGGAAAACAGAGCTTTGCTTGTTTTGCAAAAATAGATTTTGAAAACTGGAGAGCAAATAAAACCATCATCAATCATCGTAATAATGAAAGTAACAAAAAATCACTGGATCCCTGTGTGTGCCAAGAATTTACGGAATATAATAGCCATTGTCTTTTTGTCTTCTAGAATAAGGAGTGGGGGCCGTGCTCAAGAATCTATCATGGATTGAGAGAAGAGAGTGCTTGGGGGGGTGGCCACTAAGCAACATTTGCTGTTCAAGTCCTTAAGTCAGTCTCAGGGCTTGAAGGACCCTCAAAGGGGCTTCACCATATTGCAGCCACTCAGATATCTATCCTCACAGGAGTTAGACGCCCAGGAAGTCCCTTATATCAGTAAATTGAATTCCCTGGGACTCCTCTGACCCCATGAAGAGATGATCGCTCTGTAAGATCTCAATTCCCACTGCCTGGGATGGTTGGTTGTTGGAAATGCCTGCTCATGCCTGTTCCCTGGACAATATGTTGTGGCAGAGCTCACACATGGAACAGGTTGACTAGACTTTGAATTACAGCTCTCCCATTTATTTGCTGTGTGATCTTGATCAACCTACCTAAACTCTCTGTCCAGTTTTCTCATCTGCAAACTGGGATAAAGCCTTTTGCTGTGCAGGGCTTCTGGAAGATAATACATACAATATGGTGATGAAAGTAGGCCATAAATAGTGGCTAATAGTAACACAGCTTTGGAGTCGGAGATCCGAGTTCTAGTCTAACCATGACATGATCGAGCCATGTGATCTAGGGTGAGGGATGTAATTTCCCTAAGCATACACTTCCTTATCTGGAAATTCCTTTCAATAGCATCTACCTGGAAAGGCTGTTGGTCATAAGATGCTGCAGTGCCTGGTCCAAGGGCTGTGCCCCAGACCCCTTGTCTTCACTGGTAACATGTCTGGGTTAGTACTGATTATAATTAAGAATCTAGATGGGGATCTTACAAGAATTCTGCCTCAGCCAGTATAGACAGTTTAGGATTAACCTGGTGAGCCAGCAGTGAGATGAAAACATAATAGCCGAGCTTCTGGGGGTTTCCATTCTGAGTCTTGGCCCAAGGCTCCCTCACAGAATTCTTAATGGGCCCCTAAGAAGAAACAGAATCACTGAGTGTTATTTTGTGTTCCCCACTCACCATGCTCTAAGGCATTATCTTTCAGTTTCCAGCTGTTGGGGGAGGGGTATGGGGGAAGGATAGGAAGACGGTCTCCAATATAAGTTTGGCTTTATTTTAGAGAACTCAGGCAGATCATGGCAATTTAGAGTGGTAACAGAATTAGTGCTTACATTCTTTAACCTTGAGCTGTGTAATTTACAAAGTAGTTTTGACAGTCCTTGAACTGAAATAATTCTCTGAGCTATACAGTGACAGAAGGGGCTGGTGTCCTAATTTTGGAGAGGATGCTGGAGTTCAGAGACGCTGAGTGGTTTTTTTTTGGATCACACAGCTTTGAGGAGTTAGAAGGAATTGGAACACCGGTTCTTACCTGATCCCATCAAGTCACTGTACCACATTCCCACGTACTGGTAATTCACTTCCACAGCATCATTGGTTAAGAAGCCTATCCAAGACCATCTCTCACTGGGATCAGGGTATCCAAGACTGGGTCCGACCTGTTCCCAGCAGGCCTAGTGGGGCCCTGACTTCTGCCTCATCCTCATAAATTCCTGATTGTCTCCCTTTTTGACCCTGACTTGTCTCTGACAACAGCCATCTCAGGGCCTGGTCCAGAATGTAGCGCCAGGTGGTGTGATGGAAGACTGTGACGCCGGTGATAAACAGCCCTGAGTGACAGGCAAGCCTATATTCAGTGTCCCACCTTCACTGACCCCTGCCAGTTCCAGGCAGCACTGATAAACAGTGGCCCATCTCTTGGTGCTGTGCCAAGGTAAACGTTCATGCTGAGCCTGACTCTGAGTGTTGAGACACAGCTATTCCAAAGCAATGTGGAGGCCAAAAACACCATTTGTAAGCCAGGACGCAAATGTATTTGGAAATCATAGACTTAATTAGCACACTGGTGGTGTCTGATTAACCCGTAATAAGAAATAGCATTTTCTTTTGAATAGTTTCTCGCTATTGCTTTAAAGTCCATAATTTTCCATGACTTTCATGATGGTCCAGTGCACAAGATTATTTATTAACATTTTCCCCTCAAGTTCAAGGTCACAGATCAGAATTAGAACCTATGTCTTTAGATTAGAGACACTTTACGACGCCCTCTGCCCCTTGGTCTGTAAGCACAGAAGAGGAGAGCAAGGACATTTTTGTGTGTAGCCTTTACTGCTACTCTTCCTTCTTTAGAATAGATCTTGCATCTGTTAATTGAACACTTACAGATTTTTATTTCAGGTTTTGAGTCCTGGTGTGTGTAAGACAGATAGTTATCATCACTTAAAAACAAGCTGCACTGAGATGCATTAGCTGGTGAGGGAAGTATTATCTGTAATCTCATCCTCATTTTGAAAAGAATGTCTAGGCAAATGTGTGAGAAAAAAAAATTCTCCCAGGGAGCACAGTGGTCTCCCATTAAGTTAGGGGCATGCCGAGGAAATCGGACGACATGAAATGAGAAATTTGACCGGGGGTTGTTTTCCTTGAAAATTTCCACGTCATTAATTTCACAAGTGTCACTGTCATATTCTCGAATGAAATATATTACACTTCTCCTGTATCTCATACTATGTTGAAAGTGGGGATCAAAATGAACAAAATTACGCGATTCCACTCTTTTGTAGAGAATGCATTATCTTTCATGAGGGTATGAGATGGATCTGGGAAAAGAGAGTTAGCCAAGAAGATACTCCAAGAGGTTTATTTCTATTGTGATTGAAAATGAGAGGTCAGACAGTCTTCAAAATCTATTCCAATCCGAGATCTGTGGTTTGAATGGAGTCCAAAGGCTATTTAGACTCTTGGAGGACATATGAAGTTACTATGTATTTGTGTTTATTTTTTCTCTGCCTGAAATGTCCTTCCCTTTTCTCTGGACCTGCCCGGACTCCTGCTTGTCCTTTAGAACTGTCTGAATGTGATCTCTTCTCTGACTTCATGCCTTTTCCCACTGGAGTTTCTGTGGCAGTTGGCACAACTCTTCCCCCGTCCGGAGTCCTCGTTCCTGTCTGTCCTCACTAGAACGTGGGCTTCTCAGTGCCAAGGGGACACAACTTGCTCATTTTTCTATGTTCCCTCCTTGATCTACCGAGGGCCTAGTGCAGTGCACAAGACAGGCAGGTACTAAATGCACAGTGGGTAAGTGGATGAACGAGCAAATACAGACTTCATCCAGCTTTCACCTCGCTTAACTAGACTAAGTAAACTGAACTGCAGAAATGAACCTTCTTTCTCTGAATTAATTTTCTAAACTTTTATTAGAGAAGCTTGCTTCTACCAGAGGAGGTACGGGATGTTCCCAAAAGGGAAAGGCCCGGCAGACAGCCTGAGAGGGTGGGTTCTGACCTCCATCTGTTGTAGTGGCTGTGATCTCAGCAGACTGCCAGAGAGTGCTGAGTTCTGGCCTCCCTCTGGCATAGGGGCTGAGAACACAGGGGACGGCTTGCACGTTTGGATGAGGACATTCCTGTCAGTCTTGGTGTCATATTCAGGGAACTGTTTGCTGTTTATTTTGTTTCTTAGCAAAAACTGTCTTTGCTGTGAGGCTGAGACGCAACCTGGAGAGTTGACCCAGGAGGGCTCAGTGTTAATCAGCAACTATTATAAGAAGGTGACTGGCTTCCCAGAAGGGAAAGAAGGTCAGAGCGGTCTCTTTGAGTGGCTTGATAGTGCTTAGTGCCCATGACAAGATGACACATTGGGGTTCTTAGAAGCCGAAGGATCCCAAGGAAAATCCAACCCCCTTGGCTGATGGCAGAGTTTCAGAAGTTCGTTGAGTATCAGTGGCTTAATTCTGCTTTGCACTTGGGAAGCTGAAAATCTGAATTCAACTTAAAGATGCATGAAAATTATGGCTTAACATCCTTTTTGTCAACATCTCTTAAACATCACCCTCTAGCGAACATCCAGTGAGTAGAGAGCTGGGCTGTAGGCAGGATGTTTCAAAGGCTCAGGGGGACAGCTCAGTACCATCTCCTGCTGAGCCCTGTGAGCCTGAAGTCCCTTCCCATGCAGTGCCTGTCATCTGGCCCCCTAAACGACACTGCTGCACAGCAGAGAAGAGCATGGCTGTCCTCATTGCCCTCGTCGTATGGGGAGGACGAGATAGAGAGAAGCTGTGGCCTTCCTCTAAGCCACACACACAGCAAGTTGAGGGCAACCGAGAGCACAGGGTGCCTTCCCAGACTGCTGACCCACTACAGTGCCAGATTCTACTGCCTGGGCAGTGACATGCTTCAAAAGAGATGCACGAGAAACAACTCTGAACAAGTTTTATATATTTTTGCTAGATTGGTAAGTGCAGACTTTGCCTAATGGGTAGACCACTATTACCAACAACACTGCCTACTCCCAGGCATAGCAAACCAGAACTTGTACTGTACTAAGATCCAGGGTGATCTGGGGAACTAGGTAAGATAATATGTTCAGAAGTGACTCCCCATTTCTGACAAGATATTTTAAATATTTTTATTTAAGTTTGTGTGTATGAATGCTTTGCCAATGTGTATATAAGTGCACCCATGTCGTGCAATGCCTGTGAAGGCCAGATAAGGGCATCAGATTCCCTGGAACTGGAGTTAAGGATGCCACCATGTGGGTGCTGGGAACCAAATCTCGGTCCTCTACAAGAGCAGCCAATGCTCTTAAGCACTGAGCCATCTCAGCTCCCACCAATGAGATTTTTTTTTTTTTGGTCTTTTTGAGACAGGGTCTCCCTGTAGCCCCAGCTGTTCTGGAACTCACTATGTAGACCAGGCTGGCCTTGAACTCACAGAGATCTGCCTGCTTCTGCCTCCCTAGTGCTGGGATTAAAGGCATGTGCCACCACGCCCGGCTCTCCAATGAGATATTTTTAAACCTTAAATGGAAAAAAGAATCTTTGCATATAATTTTATGCACAGAAAATTAGCTGTTTATTCCTTTAAGGAACCCTGTGTGCATACAGACAGATGTTACTGAAGTTTAGCAGAAGAGAAAAGTGAGTTGACTCAATAATGGGATGCCTTAACACCATTTAATGTCTGAGCTGCTTGTAGAAGGCAACCCTTTGCTGAATGAGTGAATGAGTCACTCAGCAGTCAAACGAATGGGCTGGTCCTTGTCCACAGATCACTGTGCTACTGGAGACCTGTTCACCCCTAATGCCACCTAATCTCCGGTATTTGCTTGCACTCCCTCAGCTTGACCTTGGCCAGAGAATCTTTCACAATGCCAAACTGGGGTGGAGGCGCGAAATGTGGAGCCTGTGAAAAGACCGTGTACCACGCAGAAGAAATCCAGTGCAATGGTCGGAGTTTCCACAAGACCTGTTTCCACTGCAGTGAGTAGGGTGGACCCCAGAGTGGCTGGCATCATGGGGCATGTCTCAGTTTTCATCCAATCCTGATAACATTTCTTAGCACTTCTCACAGCACAAATGGACATGCAGGAGCAAGCCACAGGAGCCTGTAAGGAATACAGCCTGGGGTTCCACCCACAGCCGCAGCTGGAGGAGAGCTCGCTTGAGCACCTCCTCCAACCATGTTCCCACCCAGAGGCTGTTTTCCACGCCTCAAAGTCAAAACAAATGGGCTGGCTCCTGCTCTCTGTGGAAAGCCTGACCAGGGGTGACATTTGCAAAGTGTGACTTGGCAGAAAAAGGAAACCAGCAGTTGTCTGGAGCCAGAGTAGATCTGCCTCCGTGTTGCCCCTGCTGGCCAGCTGTCACTGAAACCAGCTGTGACTGGCCTTTCCTAAGAAAGAACGTATGGCAGGCAGTGGGCAACACTGACCGTTTCTCTGTTTGGGGACTAGGCAGCAGAATTTCATGAAGGGAATCTCTACCATCAGCTTCCAGACACAAATTTACAAATGCCAAAATAGAGGGGTGCTTTAAGAGTGATCTACCCCAGAATCTTGTGATTCTAAGCATGCAGGCGTGTGTCTGCAAGCAGAGTGAGGGCGAGGTCCTGCACCTTCAGATTCCCACTCCAGTGCTCCATGGCATCACATCCTGTGGTTTCCTAGTGCCTAGTTCTCTCCTGGGAGAAATTGGCTGTGGCTTCGAAATGGGCCCTTGCCTTCTCTGCTTCTAGGCTGAGGATCTGGCTCAAGGACTGGCTCTGCTGGGCATCTGGCAGCCTCTTCACCTGGCTCAGTCATCGCCCTCATGCCTCAGCCTGGTGGCTGGCTGCGAGCTATCTACGTGGTTCCTAATGTTAGGGCATGGAGATGCACGCTCACCTGTACTCTGCCAGAGTGACTCGTTCTCAGCTGCAGCTGCTTCCAGCAGACAGACACACATTTGTCTTTTGTTTTGTGAGATAGGATCTTACTATGTGGCCCTGGCTGGCCTGGAATTTGGTATGTAGACCAGGCTGGCCTTGAATTCACAAAGACCTGCCTGCCTCTGTCTCCTGAGTGCTGGGATTAAAGGTGTGTAACACCACCCGGTCACACATTCACACATTACAGAAGAAAACGAGGACGCTGCTTTGGGTGATTAGGCTGGCAGACTTCCTGAGGGGCAATTCTCTTCATGTCATAGTACAAATCTCTCCTGTCCATCATACGCATTACTATTACAACTATCTACAGCTTATCAGTAGAGTCCCTTTCATAAGCCTTTGGCTTTTGTCCAAAAATAGCTAATGTTCTTTGAAAGAGCTGAAACAGAGAAAGACAGCTGGAATTAAAGACCAAGCGAATCGGAGTAAGGTTTGAGTCTGGGCTTTGTCATGGACTAACTGTGCAACTAAGTAAGTTATTTTACCATAGTGCTTCTCAGTGTCTCTCTCTGTAAGGTAAAGATGGACATTCCCACTCCATAGTTTGTTATAGGAAGAAAAAGGCATCCTCTACCTGGAAATAATCCAGCCTTCCTGCCCTCGTCCTGCTTATTGACTTTGATGCCTTGGTGGGAGGTGGAAGACCCCTGAAGTATGGGGTGCCTTGACTTTCCCAGAGGAAGATGCTGTGCTCAATGGAGCCACAGCAGAAGGGTTTGTATACTTGGTAGTACATTCCCTTTGACCCAATCCACAGGATGAGAGCCAAGCGGTGTGGGTTTCAGCAGGGTGGTCACGGGGGGGCTGGAGAGGAGCACACGTTTCTATATGGTCCACGAGCTTTACCAGACTCCAGCCAAGCCTCTGCTGGCTGGAAACAGGCTTCAGGGAGTCAGCTCTACCTCAGCTGTCTTCTTAACAGTGCTGTCCTGCCTTCTAGATAAAACCCCATAGTTGATTTAATCTTCCATTTCAGTGCTGTCCAAAAGAAATAAATGTAAGCCATATATTTAAATTCAAATGTTTTAGTATTCATCACTTTACAACTATGCCAATAAAAAGTAGGTAAGAATAAATTTTGAAATATTCTATTTAATACAATATATCAGAAATATAATTCCAACGCTTAGTCACATATGAATTATTCATTTTACATTCTTTTGTGTTTGCACTGTTTGAAGTTGGATGTGCATTTTATGCTAACATCAGATCAGCACATCACAGCTAGTCACGTGGAACTGGGCAGCACAGCTCTCTATTGATGTGTACAAAGCGCTTCAGGGGCCAGTGAGATGGCTCAGTAGGTAAAGATGACTGCCACCAAGACTGACCTGAGTTTAACCCTCGGGACTCACATGATGGAAGGAGAGAACCAACTCCTATCATCTGTCCTCTGATCTCCACACACGTACCATGGGATGTGCTTAACAACTCACATTCCACAATATGTGTGTGCATGTATTGCTTGCATGTAGGTAAGTGCATCCATGTCGTGCAATGCCCGCAGAGGTCAGAAGAGGCTGTCAGATCCCCTGGGACTGGCGTTATGGACAGTTGTTCTTAACTGCTGGGCCATCTCTCCAGTCCCCTTAAGAATTATTTTTAAAAGCTCTTTGGAAGCTAGAACTGGCCAGGGCTCATACAGTACAGGGTGTCTTGGGTGCTGGGAATGAGCACTGGATTGAGTCAAGGGATCCGAGGTCACTGATAGCTCTGTAATTCACTGCTAACAGTGGGCAAGTCCCTTGTCTCTAATGACATGCACATTCGCTTGCTCAACAAGTATTTACAGACCCAGGTCCTCTGCTATGTTTTGAGGACATTAAGGTGGAATAGTTTTGCACTCTGGAACTGGACACCTAGAGCACCAGCAAATATGGGAGCAGTGGTGGAGGGCGGCCACTGACAGCAAGATACAGTGTATGTCTTCTGTGTCCCAGTATGAGGCGTCCCCCAGAGTCTTCTTCCAAGACCTGCCCTTGTTGGAAGCCTTACAAAGGTCTCTCATGCTACTGGCTACTCTCGATTTTTTTTTTTTTTTTTTACAAAAATTGAACCTATAAATACTTGAATAAACTCCCCCCATTCTCCTGTCTTCCAAGCTCAACCACTCGCCTATGGCCCATCTTGCTTCATTTATCATCTTCAATTACTCTATTTTTTAAAAACCAACAAAATGCCACTTGAGGAAGGCACATTAACCTGAAACAATCTCATCCATGCCAGAATGCTTATAATCACTTGGAGGAACTGGTTTAAAAATAAAAAAGACAAATAAATTGAACACACGTTTTATTATTTCTGGGGTTATGGCCTCGCTGTAAGAACTGTGTGTCAGTATGGAGTCTTAACGACCACTGCTGCACACTTCAGCATTAAGTTGTAGAAATCCTTTATGTTTTACAGCTGCCTTAGAGTTACGCTCATAGGCTCTGCTTGTTGAAACAGTTTCCATGCGGCAGTCTCCTGGTCAGGTCCTGAACAAGGGCTGCCTCTCAAGGGTTCAGACACAGACCCAAGTAAGGCTGAGCTGGTTAGGAAGTGAAGAGAAGGTCAAGGAAGAAAGGGATCCCCGAGTTGGTGTGAGATTAGAAACACACAGCATTTTCAAGTCAATATATTCTTAAATGTATACTATTAAATATTATGAGAATGATCACATATTTTAATTTACATCTTTAAAAGTTTCCCCTTCCCTTGAGATGCAGGTGTAACTCAGTGGCAGAGTTCAAGGATATTATGCTTGAAACCCTAGGTCCAATCCTTAACAACACACACACACACACACACACACACACACACACACAGAGAGAGAGAGAGAGAGAGAGAGAGAGAGAGACACTTGTAATCTTTTTCAAGTTTGAAATCTTCCTATAAACTTTGTCTTTGGACTTAGTTGCCGTATATTTGGGGACAAATTATATGAGGTAATCAATATATAGTGTCCAGGTGGCTGACTCAATAGGAGTGTAAGGGGACAACAAGCCAGGTGTGCCCCTTCTGCCCTGCCCGATTCCAGAACGGGACACAATTTCACAGTGTTCTTCAAAGACCTCGCATATAGAAACTACTCCTACAGGACCAGGGCATAAATACCTGCTGTCATCTGGCATAATTCACTAAGTTGGTCAGGGTCATTGGTCCTAGCAGCCCTAAGATTCCACACTTGGTGGCAGTGCTGGCTCTGCCCTTTTCCAGCTGAACATACCTGTACCCTCTCTGTGGTCTCCTTCCACCATCTGAAAACTCAGAACCCTCTCAAGAGTGACTCGGGACAAATGCTCTGTCGGGAATCACAGTTGTGTTCCTGGTCTAGGGCCCCGGAACAGAGCACTGGGGTGCAGAGGGTAGAGGAGTCAGCCCTAACCCCCTGACCCTTCCTTTCCTTGGCAGTGGCCTGCAGGAAGGCTTTGGATAGCACCACAGTGGCGGCTCACGAATCAGAGATCTACTGCAAGGTCTGCTATGGGCGCAGGTATGGCCCCAAGGGGATCGGGTACGGGCAAGGCGCTGGCTGCCTCAGCACGGACACGGGAGAGCACCTCGGCCTGCAGTTCCAACAGTGAGTTACTACCAAGCTTCCTCCCCCCCTGTTAGGAGCCTCCAATGATGAAAACAGTTCATTCCGTTCCCATAGCAACACTTTCTGGAAGTGGGAGAATGGACTCTTATTGTTGACTTGCTGACAACAGGAATACTCAGTCTGACCAAGTCCTAACAATGTGTCATCTCTCCATGACGTTCTTTAAATCATGCCTTTCTGAAGGGCAATTACTTTTACATGATGGCTCTTGGTTTGCATGTCAAGAGAAGACCCCGAATGTACAGATGTTCCATTGTTTGGCATTGCAAACTGCATGGACTCTTTCCCCGCCTTTGAGAGTTTCTGTGTAAGCCACATAAATATGGCAGGAAAGCAATGGCCATTCTCTGTGTGCTTGCCACTGAAAGATTTCGTCCTTAGCTTGTAAGATGACTAATGTCTGCCTCACAGGGGAAGGGGTCTAGGACCCCTGAGGGTTCTGTAGTCTCCTTGGTGCCTGCTGCTTGCCCACACAGTGCTGATTCCCACCTCCTCCCCCCAATCCTAAGGCACTGGGATATCACATGGCCACCACCATCTCAATCTCCTCCCCTGGATCCTCTGGCCAGAACTGAGGACAGTCTGATGATGGCTAGTCTGCAGCTGCTATCTGGCCAGGTGATATTTGTTCAGGCTTAGCTCTGTGGTGTAACTGGTCAGAAAGACCTCGCTGAATGGATAGAGTCCCTCAGAGTTCTCCCCCTGACAGCAGTGTGCATCAGAGAAACCACTTGGTCCCTTAAGGAGAGAGTGATCGACCACAGAGCCTGGACAAATGGAGGGCTGTACTTAGATGCTAAAGAGAGAACCTCTATTACTTCCTCTCATTACTTTATGGAGCTCTCTCGACCCGCTTTCGCCCAGCTCTACCAGCCAGGAGCTGTGAGGTGCTGTTCCCAGTCTGGTCCTCCGTCTTTGTGGTGATGCTCAGGAGTACAAAATACAGGGGACACCTAAGGGTCGGACGGTGCAAAGGGCCGGGCCTTTGCCTCTATTTCAGATACTGCTCTCAAGGGGTTAGCTGACCTTTGGGTACATGACAAGACATGAATTATGATAACAGTGCACCAGACCGTAGGATTGTGGCTTGTCAAGAACCTATGAGCATCAACAGTCAAGGTCCCATCTTGCCATAGAATTTCACAGCTCAGTCCAGATAATTAGTGAGTTTCAAGATAGTTTAGAAAAATCTAAAGCAACGGTAAGGCACATGAACATGCATCGAGTGTTTAAGTTTTTTACAAGAAAGGAAAGACTTAAGTCCATGAGAGCTAACAGTCACTAGCCCATCCATGCCGGTCAGGCACTTTGACAGACATCTTATTCAGTCCTCTCAGCTACTCTGAGACAGACTTCAGGATCGGCCCCATCTTGCAGATGAAGAGACAGAGGCAAAGGTCTGTTACCCAAGACTGCACCTTTTATCCTGTGTGCCAAGGAGGTCTATTCTTCATTCACCTGTCTGTTTCCACCAGATCCCCGAAGCCGGCACGCTCGGCCACCAGCAGCAACCCTTCCAAGTTCTCTGCAAAGTTTGGAGAATCAGAGAAGTGCCCTCGGTGTGGAAAGTCAGTCTATGCCGCTGAGAAGGTGATGGGCGGTGGTAAGGTGAGGCGCCTGGGCGAGCCACATGGCACCATCTCATCTCTGCTGGGCAGTCGGGGAAACAAGGGTGGGAACTGTGAGTGGGGCCAGACCCTTCATCCTCCTTAGCTCCCACGGCCTGTTTTAGACACCGCACATCTCCTTCCACCGTCCCCTTCCACAACTGTCACCAGTACCCTCAGAGAGCTAGAACTGGTGCGGTCTTCCAGAACAAGTGTAGACTAGTGGGGGAAAGGCAGTCAGCCAAGCTCTGGGGACACAAGGGCGCACATTTCCTCCCCACGCTTCTGTGTCCACGGTGCCTTCAGAGGTGTCAGCCCCGGAAGCCCATCCCCACCCTGTAATCCAACCCAGTTCTGCCACCACACACTGCCTCACAGCACGAGACAGGGAGAAGCACTTGCACTTGCCCATGCCATGGCTCATGGGCAGGTCATGTGTGTGACCCTCCAAGTTCTGCTTCAGGTCCGAAGCCAGGGTGTTCACCAAAGGAATTGAACTGGGGAAAGAGAAAAACCTCATTCATATTGAATGTGGAGAATGGGGGCCTTGGAGAAGTCTAACATGATGCCTAGGGCTGTCCCCACACAAAGACCAGACATTTGCAAACACAGCAGAACCCCTGGGCCATGTCTGGCAGACAGCGATGTTCAGCCGGGGCCGCCTGCTGGAAAAGAGCTAATGCCACTCCACTATCACCATTACAGAGTGAAAACCTGGATGGATAACTGGTAACTGGGTAACTGCCTGCCTTTATCTTTTACTTTCTTGAACTTTATATACAATACAGCGTTACTCAC